CAAACATAACACCAACTCTCTATAGTTTTTATCTCCACAGATTAACATGTGCAACCTATTGTCCAGACCTTCTATGATGCCGCTTGCCAAACATGATGCCAACTCTCTATAGTTAGATCTCCTTCCGGAAATTTCTTATCAAATCTGTACTATACTTGGACTTCCACGGGGCTCTGTGTTCGATTTTGGCTCCTCACCTGTAGGTTATAGAGTTTTTTCCACCTCCAGCCCGACTCGAACCGTGGACCTTGACTTTCCGTGAGGGTTTGGCAACTTAACAATTAAGCTATAGAGCCCAAACCCTTTTTGAGAATTTTTAAAACACCTATCACATAATAGATTTGTTCAAAATTTGCCAAAACTTTGCCAGAATATTTCTGCAACCACTTAAACAAATTTAATTAATTTTTTTTTATTTGAATTCTATGAATTTATAGAATTCAAATAAAATAAAAATTATTAAATTTGATTAAGTAGTTATTAAAATATTTTTATTTAAAGTTATTAAAATTTGTAAATAAAAAGCATAGTATAAATAAAATATAATATAATCAAAGTAATATACATGAATTATAATAGTGTAAATAGTAAAAATTATAGTGCAAATAGCAGTACCCTAAATTAATATTTATTAAATTTATTAAATTATTTAAATTTTAAAATATAATTGTTCTCCTATACAATCATATAGTTGGGTATATAGTAAATTTTTTTAAAAATATGCTTTTAAAGGAGTTGTGCTTATATAGAGGTTTTTTTCTTATAAATTAAATCAAAGTTTAATCCAAATAAAAATGTAATTATATATAGTATAATTGTATAAAAGATGACTATATAGAGAGTTAACTATACAAATATACAAGTTTTTTTTTAATATTTATATTTTTATTAATTTATTTAATAGATAATTTTCTAATTACTTGGTTTAAAAAAATTTTTTTTATACAGTATACCCTGTCAAATCTGATCCTGTCAAAATTGATATCCTGTCATATTCGATAAAAAATTGATTCACCACCTTGGTTCCATAATTCAAACCTGATAACCCACCATTTCTGATAATTGATACTCAAAAGGTAAGATATCAGGTTTGATGTTTGTGTAATATAAATATGCATAAGTATACTTTTTGATAAAATAATAAAATAATTTTTAATAATGTATCAAATAGGACACTTTTATAGCAAAGTTAAAGATTATCAATGCATGACAAAATTTTAAGAAATAAAGTGAAAGCATGAACAATAAACTTTAGATTTTTAAATAAAAATTAATGTGAGAAGGACAATAAGCTTAGTTTTTTGCTTGAACATTATGCTATGATTTTAAATTTATTTTACTGATTTACATTTTTCAATTTAGATCAGCTTCTTATAAAAAAAAAAGCTGAGTTTATTGTAGATCAGTCTTTGTCGTATGCTAGTAAAAATTTTATTAGCTTATAACTATTATAATCTGAATATAGTATAGAGTAAAGAGATCTTAAAAACAGTGATCATGAATCTTAAAAAATTGATCTAGCTTATATTGGACTTGCTGTTCATTTTTTTCTTTTCTAATTTCCTCATAGATATGAGCTTGTACCTTGTGCAAAGATCTTATTGTTGCTTCATTATCTTCAACCATTTCAACAACAATTTTCAAGGCTTCATATAGAATATTTAATTGTTCTTTTAGAGTCAAAGATAGTTCCATAGCTTCTTTTTCTTCTACTTGTTCTATTTCAATAGTGCCTTGAACAAAATCATCATCAGTAAATTGCTAATGCACCTCCTCTTTGCTTTCAGGATTTAACCAATTATTGACTGATAGTGGAGTACAAATATGCAGTGCAACTATTTGTTTTTAGATTTCAGCAGTTAAGTTTACTTCTTCATTATTTTTTTCTATGCCTTTATTTTTGTTATCAATATTTGTTTCCACACTTATATTTTCTTTTGCATTTTCAATATAGACAATAGAAAGAGAAGAAACAATAAGCATTCTGGTTTTATTACGAGATAACACAATTTTTGTGTGGGCCCAACAATTTTTAATAGTTTCAACAGATACTTCATCCCAAGCAATTTTCACTCACCTCATACCTAGGGATATAAAGTTACAGTAATTTTTTATATAATTTTGTATAATTTTGTATAAGATTTGGTAAATTGAAATTTTATTTAATAATAATTTTAAACACAAGATATTTAGTTTCTGAAATCAAATTTTTAGTGATTTAGGAGTTACAATTCAGATCATAAATAATGCAATAATACTGGCTAAACTTTTGTAAATCTAGAACTTTATATAACATGATGAAATTTAATTTTCTGAAACTTACATAAAATCATGTAATATAAAATTATAATTTATATAACACAATCCTACTCATACCTTGCAACTGATCAACCTTGTATATATCATTTTTACTGGCTTCATCACGATCTATTGTGTGTTGAAGTTGTAAATAACAATAATAGAGCTTGAAGGATATAATAATTCTAGCATCCATAGGTTGGATTTTTAATGTGATATTTTTTGGTAGCAGAAGTACTTCTATATTAGTCAAGGAGAGTGTACTGACCACATATGAAGTGGCATTATCAAAAATAAGAAGAATATAATAGTTTGATTCTCTTATTTGCACATCTAACTTATTTATCCATTCCTGAAAATATACAGCAGTTATCTATGCCTTTTTATTATTCCGGTAATAGAATCCAAGCTCTTCTCTTGATTTTTTTTTAAAACATCATGGCTTTTTTGCACATCCAATAAAAAAAGGTAGGAGCTTATGTGTACCATCAGCATTGGCCATAAGTGCAATTGTAATCCTTACTTTGTCTTTTTTTAACCCCTCAATTTGACGAGATACAATTGTATGATCAGGAGCCAATGAATAGAACAGACCTGTCTCATCCATATTGTAAATATCACACAGAGGATAACAATTAGTAGTACAGATAATAATCAGAAGATTTAAATTAATAGCAATCATGTCGGCAGAACCACTCTCACCATGTAACTTAATTTTATAGAAATTATGTTTTTTCTGAAAAGAATATAGCTAGCCATTTAAAAACTCTGGTTGGTCATTCTCAGGAATATTTAATAATTCTGCAAACCTTTTACCCTTAGCTTTAATTATATTACCACTTAGGTGTACTCCCTGATGTTTATATTATAAAACCCAGTTTGCTAATATATTATCCAATTCAGGGAATGTAATGACATAACGTTTTTTATTTGCAAGATCATTTGAAGTCATTTTACTGAATTCTTCTTTTTTTTTTAGAATTTCTGAGATTGTGCTTTGGAATGGAGCTTTTGGAAGGTCGAATTCTTTTTTAGCCTATTCAGCAAGTTCTTTTTAAATAATTGATAGATTCATTTGATAATGTTCGCATATCACTTTTTATTAATCATTACGCAAGAATCTAGTTGAAGAACTTTTTTTAATTTTTATTATTTTGGTTCTTTTTTTTTATAGGTTAAACTTTTGCATAGGCAAAAAATTTAAGAACTTTATTAAGGGTGAGTATTTTATATTAATTTTGCATTTATATGGCTTTTATATTTTTTAGATTTATATATCACTTTTATCATTTTTAATAGTGATGCAGAAAAATCACTTTAATGATTATTATAACTAGTAACAACATAAGCTTTAGCTAGTTATGGCTTAAGCTATAACATTATTGAGATAATTTTACTGCATCACTTATTTCTTATTTGAAAATACTATATTGAAAATGTTTTTTTTTTTTTTTTTTTTTGTATTGCTTAATATTTTCTGAGACTTTCTCTAAATTATTACACGTCAAGTATTAATAAATTAGGCTTCCAAGCCTATGGCTTGAAGCTAATTAGGTCTATTTAAAACCATTGCTTGGATCATACTGGGTTGTTAATAGTAGCTTGCCATGGTAGTAATCTTTGGTATTTTACTAGTTATTTATCAATTTGGATAACTTACTATCAAAATTACAAGTTTACAACTGTAACTATGGTTTAAAGTTAAGACACAGCTTGAATCTATTCTATCAGTTATATATCAAGAACCTATATGATTATATTTTGTTGTCTGATATCATATATTACTTAAAAAAGGGGTGTGGCGACTTAGTGAAGTGGTGGAGTTGTCGCACCCCCAGACGGCAGGTCTAG